ATTATCATATATTTTAGATTTTTGTTTCTATTTTTTATAATATATTTTTGTCCCTTAAAATTCGTCTATTCTTAAAATTTTAAAAACTCACTTTCTAACATAAAATATCGTATGGTCTCTTGTTGCTTGTAATACCTCTGATTCGCTGTCCAGTTTCAACTTTTTAACCAGATACTACTTCATTAGTGTCATCTTCCCGTCCCTGAAGATTTGAATCAAATGAAGGTCCGAAACATGAAATAATTGTGAACAAGAACTAGTATTACTTGATTCTCATGTAGCTTTTTGGTATTTGAGGCAAGAATGGTTCTTTTGATCTGAAATGTAAACAAGAAAATGAGAAGAATAAAAAAGTTCATTTAGGGGTTGTTTGTTTACTTCAGAATGATTAAGCGTTAAATGATTCAAATGTTAAATGATTCAGAGGCTTTGTATGAATTAACTCTGAATGTGACATGTTATTTGATAATGGCTCTGAATCATTCATAATGTACTTCTGTGTTGAATCTTTCAACACTGTTTTACTGAATCAGTCAGCATTGAATAATTCAGAGGTGTGAAACAAACACGCTGAATGCTGAACGGTTCAGTATTCAGCGCTGAATGGTTCCATTAAGAGGCAAACAAACAGCCCTTTAGTAAACTAAATGTCAGAATGAGGTCTTCTAGGTGGGTGAATGATTCTAACATCCAAGCTCGTCGAATGATATGTTAATTTACACCCCTAGCTAAGAGGGTCTAGGAAAATCACAGAAAGAAGCTAATGAAATGGTCAACCAAAAGGAGGAAAAAGAACAAGGCTCCTGGACTTTGAGCCCATATCCTCAGTCTAATAATAACTTATCAATTAAGTGGGAGCGGGGAATGAATACATGAGCCCGTCTATTGGCCTTTTTAGGCCAGAGGCTCAAATCACAGCTCTTTGATTTCTCCAATGGATTCTTTGCTTCAGTGTGAAGACGATCTGTAACTGGTAATCCATGATTACAGTCCGATTTGTAAGTTTTGTTACCAGTTGTAACGATTCCAATTAATTGGTCACCTCTAATTGTTTCCAGCTAGTATCTTGGCAAAGACTGCCTTCAGGCTGGTATTGTCTAAACACTGACGGTGCTGCTACAGGTGATAACTCTATAGGCTGTGTCGTGCATTATTCCGATGGTGAATGGCTGCTTGGTTTTATAGGGATAGCTTCTGTTCTGCAGGCAGAGTTGTGGAGAATTTAACAAGGCCTGCAATTCGCTTGGACCAATGGGTTCGAGCGTCTACAGGTTCAAACGTACAACACCCAGCTCGCAAGGCTATTTGAGCTATCTATCAGGTTGTGTTCCAGGTGCCGGGTAACGGATACCAAGCTAATTCACCGAGGCGAATATGGTCGTCGATGGTCAGACAAAACTCACATTCTTTAATACGTGTTATATCTTTTAAGATGGTTTTCAGAAACCTTCAAATCTCCATTAAATTAAACAGTCGACTGTCCACCAATTAAAGTCGATAAATATTTTCATCTACTAGAACGTCTGACTAGTCTATACCTTTTGATTGGAGGCTTTTTAATCAACTACAATAATTAGACAAGACTTTTGGCATGTTCATATGATAGAATAAAATCTAAAGTTGAATTAACAAATTCGCCTAATATATTTCTCTACGAATAGTTATACTACTACTGACACATTAAAAATCATTATAAATACTCACAACCAAATAGAAAAAGGATTGAAACCCTCACAATCCCTAAATCATCTTCTTTATTGTCCAAATTAATCTTTTTCTATATAAAAATATCAGACCAATAATTATTATTTTACAGGTCACGATTCTCAACCCAAGCTAGAAAAATTATAACTAGGTAAATTTGTTGATATGAAAAACTAATTTTAGTTAAATGGTATTTTGAATAACTTTTTATTTAATTTTAATTATAAAAGTATATAAAATAAATATTATAAAAAATAAGTTTTAAATATATATATATATATATATATATATATGAGGCAGGCAGCATGTCCTGGGCCTCTATCTGCATATTTTTTTGTACTGGTGCACTGCACCTTTTTTCAGGCTTTTTATCCCTTCTTCACTGCTGAGATTCCCTTCCTCTCTGCCACCTTTAAAGTAACAAAAACAAAAGGTTCCTTTGCCAATAGCTAATGGATAATAGCCAATGGTAGCTATTCCCCTCTTGAACCAGAACCACAGTCTTCTTTATATTCCAATAATTTTTTATTTAACTAACTTATTTATTTATCAATTAATTTAAATCAAATAAGATAAAGATCTATAATAAAATATGTTCTATATATATATATATATATATATATATATATATATATATATATATATATATATATATATATATATATATATATATATATATATATTCTAAATAAGTAATTAAAATATACCATTTTTCATTGAAGTTCTTAAAGTATTTTTGGTCAAAATAAACACTTAAAATATTCAATCATTTTCATCTAAGTACTAAAAAAGTTGACACGTGATATTAATTAAAGAATATTTTAGGTACTTGGATGAAAAAGATTGAATAAGTTAGGTACCTATTTTGACGGAGAAATAAGCATAGATACTTACTTTGACCAAAAATATATTCTAAGTACTTAAATAAAAAGATGATATACTTTAGATACTTGTTTGTTATATAAGTCTAATAGATATATTAAGAGTGTCTCTGATGACACATTAGTAGAGACTTATATTCTATTATATTTAAGGTTTAGGGTTTGTGTTTATACATTCTCAATATATACCACTACCAGGGATGCATCTAAAAGGCCAGACAGGGTCTTACCCTCAAGATGGAAAAATACACTTGAAGTCCTACACACATGCAAAAATATAAACTTATTGAAATGATAAATTTATATTTTAATCCTCTAAAAATTAATAATTAAATTTCGACCACTTCCAAATGTTTTTCTAGGTTGGTCCTTGATGGATAATTGATGATGAACTACACAATAACACGTGGTAAAAATAATTAAAAACAAAATATAAATAATTAAACTTATATGCTAGTAATATATGAATGTATACTTCATCAATGAAAATTTAAAAATAAATCTATTTAATGGAGTGGTTAGAAGAAGTGACAGTGGACTTCCTTTTTTGAATTGAGTTTCTATCATATAAACATTATTATCAGAAGCTTTAGCTAAATATTACTCTTGACCCAAACGTGACTATTTTTAGATTATAAAACGAACGAGAAAACATTTGATTATATATATACACTGCGGTAAATAATTTTATAAATTTTCAATAGATTTTTTAATTTTACTTATATTGGTCGATCATTAAATCTTTTATTGTTGTTTAGGTTTTTTTTTGGTGAATTATAAAAAAAATCGATGAAACTTTCATGTCAGATCTATATTTTCATACTCCCTTTGATTTATTGGTGTCAAAGTATTGTATTTTAAATTTATCGATGGAAAGATAGAGAAAAAAGAGAAAAAATATATATTGATTCTACGATGATCAGAAGGTGGAGATTGCAAATTAAGCTTTGATTTCAATTTTATCGATATTTTGAGGAAAACTAAATTAAGAAGAAGGAATAGAGAATAAAGGAGAATGGTTTGATACCAATTATGTCGCAAATAAGGATTGACGGAGGTCGAATGGTGATAGAGAAAGATTAAAATCACGGGAAAGAGGGTTAAAATTTTAAGATAATTTCATAAAAAAATCTAAAAACGTAACATTTTGACACTAATATTAGCCATTTAAAGATAGAGTGACCAAAACATACAAAATTTAACAATAAAATTTTAAAAATTAAAATTGAATGACCATAATAAAAATACAAGAAAAAATGAGGTAAAAACTAGTTTATATATATATATATATATATTATAATCCATTTACATTAGAATCATTGGATAAGTGGAAATATACGGTTGATATTAATTTTTTAATGAATATATTTTTTTATTGTTAATCTCATTTATCTATTTTCATGATCTAATTGTCATAAATTGTGAAAATTAAAAAGTTTTTATATTGTATAATAAGATTATATATTAAAAAGCATCTCTTTCACTCTCTCATGGGTCGGGAGAATTTTTAGGAATGACGCCCTTTTTTATTTTCAACTGACCAAACAGTTCAACTATTTCGAGCACCTTTATAATAGATTAAATTATTTTATATTAAAAACAATAAAGATTAATATTTAGATTTAGAAGGAATAAAAAACTTAATTAATATTTAAACTAGTTAATTTTTTCAAATAATCAAAGTTTTGTCCTAAAAAATTCTAACCTATTATTCTTTTTTTTTACCTAAAAAGGATATCTAATATCTAATCACGATTCACCTAAACATGCATAATAAAGAAAAAATTGAGAGATTAAGTTGAACAACAATAACAAGGAACAAAATGTTTAACTTCTAACTTAATTTAATGAAACGTAAATGAATATAGTCAACGAATTATATTTAAATTATGTGATAATGATGCTTAGTCAAAACAAGCAGATAAGAGATCAATTGAAACTTATATTTTTTGATTACAGTAAACACAGATAAGTAATCTTATTTATACTTTTTAATTACATCAATTTAATATCGAAGTTGATGTTATAGTGCTAACAATTAAGAGTTTCTAAAAAAATGATAACAATTAATTATATTGATGTGATAGTCTAGTATAACGATTTGAGTCAACAATATCTAGAGGATGAGGTTAAAAAAAATTATGTTTACAATTTATCTCCCTCTTAAATTGTGGGTTCAATATCTAATAGGAGTAAAAATTCTCCTTTCCCTTCATTCTAGGTAAGAATTATTCAAAAAAAAAATTATAACTATTTCATCATTTATGAGGTTGACCTATCGGTATACTATCTTATAATCACCATAATATTTAAAAAAATGCTATGGATTTATCAACAGCCACAGGTGAAGAAGAATCAAAGCTTAACTAAATAATTCATTTGTCTAATATGTTATAATTCCACACACACACAATAAAACAGATGATTAAGAGAGGAGAAAGAAGAAGACAAATGGGGTTCAAGGAGAGGCATTTTGGGATCGATCAAAGTGAAGAAGTTGACCATTACATTTGGGGCAATCTTCAACCTGTTTGGGGACCATGAAATACATGAGACAGCTCTTGCAACCCCCCACTACCAACACATTATCTTTGTCTTTCTCTACCCCATGGTGGTTGCTGTTGCAATGCACTCTCTCTCTTGTGGAACAAGGAGATGACTCCGACGGCGACTCTTCACTGTCAAAATAACTATCATCGTCTTCGTCGTCATCTTCCTCTGAGTAAAAACCTCCGCTGTACTGAGCTGTCGTCCTCGGATCCTCCCTCGCTTTCATCCCGTTCTTCCAATTTATGTAGTAAATCCCTCCCGTCTGCAGAGATTAACGCAGGACTTTAAGTCAATAATGAAAAAAAAGTTATATTAGAAATTTAAAGAGCGTAAAATTACAAAATTCTAAGTTGCAAAATTAACTTATATAGAAATATGAAATTTTTAAAAAGCGACCGCGACCCAATACCCTGAACAACAACGAAAATAACCCAGAATTTTTTAGAATGTGAATATCAGCTGCAAACCTATAATGTACTAATCAATAGGGATGAATCTCTTAGTTTATAAACTATTTGCAATTTCGATTTGCATAGAAAAGTGCATCAGATATCAGGAAATTAATTCTTACAACAAGGCAAAGAAGGGTTACATATACGTGTGTTTGTATGTATGTATTTCTATTTTCTAGGGTTTCTTCTGCTCTGTATGGGAGACTATGAAGACTCCATCTGGGAAGCAATAAATACGAAGAAAAGACCGAAGAGAAACATTAAAGGGAGCAAGATCTGCCATGGGTTTCACATTAATTGCGTCTGTAACACGAAAACGACTAAAAACTGTTTTTTTTTAACCCTTCCAAGAGAAGAAAAAAACGAACCTTTAGATCAAGGCATTGTTCCCAATGGTAAGGCAGAGAGAGATGGGAGTTGAGCTCCAAGCTAGTGTCAGATACGCTGATTGGAGGGCTGCTGTTGCTTCTGCTGCTGCTGCTGTTGCTCTCGTCTGATGTCGACGACCTCCCTAATAATCCATCCTCACCGCCGCCTCCGCCACCGTTACTGGTTCTTCTTTCGTGGTTCAACGAACAGTTCCGCAAAGACCTTTCCAATGATTCCGTTATTGTCGCCATGTTTGGTGCTGTCATTACTAACGCAGAATACCAACAGAAATGTAAGAAACGGTGAGGAAATTGAAAGAGGGAGCGACTGGGAAGAAGGGACGAAAACTAAACACCAAGGGCGTGTTTGTGTGAAAATGATTATTAATAAGAAATTTCTATCGGATAAACTATGTATTTAGTCATTCAATTATCATTTTGATTACATTTTGGTCATTAAATTATTTTTTAAATCATCATTAACATTATATTTTGGATTCATTTTAGTCATCTATCACTAAAAAAATAATGACTAAGTTGACGTGTCAATATAAGATAATACCACATCAAAAATTATGTTAATTTAACAATGGGTGACCAAAATGAAATCAAAATGTAGCATTAATGATGATTTTAAAAAACAAATAGTTGAATAACTAAAACGAAACTAAAGTGATATTTGGATGATTAAACACAAAGTTTACCCTTTTATGTTTGGGTGGAAAAATAGAAGCTGCACGCTCCCTGCCCATACGCGAGGGGAATTAACGGATAACACTTGTGTGGGTCCACACCTGTCATCAACAGATAACCACTGCGGGTTGCATTTTGTCTCGCATCTGCGGATGGGAATTTAAAAGGTTGCAGACGCAGCGGAGGCGCGTGAATAGAGTGTAGTTATCGGTCCACACCTTTGGCCCCGTGGAAAAGAAAAGGATTAGGGTTGGAGAAATCGTTGGGTTTTGAAAAAACAAAAACTTTACTTTTTTTATGATAATACTATAAAGAATTTAGAAAGAAGAGATTTAAAGCTAAAAATGATGTTATCAAAAAGAATGCTGGAGCTTTGTTTAACAATTTCTTGTTTTTCGAATCAAAATGGAAGCTTGTTTATATATAAAAAAAATCTATGCTTCAAAGAACGCAATGCTACGTTGTGTTACTCGTAAGGAATAATACTAAATTTAGTCATTAATATCTATATTTTTATCAATTTAATCCCTTTTAGTTAAATTTAATCTTAAATTTTCAAAAAGTTAAAATTTGATCTTCAACCTTTTAAAAAAAATAAAATTGGTAATCTTTAACGAAATGCTGACTGAATGTTAAATTTTTAATGTCATTGACATGATAAACTAGTTGGCCTTCTCTTCAAATGTTGTCCTAAACTATTGCATGTATCATCACTTCTAATAGACTATCGTCGTGCATCGCCACGGTCACACTATCGTCGATGGCAATTACTCGATCTCAAATTTCATGGACCGCTTTTCCTTGATGCATAGAGTCTAAATTGGATGTTTGTTTTGCTAGTAGAAACTCCAAAATTCTTAGATCTTAAAAAACTGTCTCGACTTCTTTTTCTATTTATGTCTTTCCTTTTTCTTTTGTATGACATTTGACTATTTTTCCCTTAATAGGTTTAGAGATGCTTTTTAGGTATTTTGATGGTTTTTTAGGATTTTTTATGGATGTCTCCTAATTTTTTTTAATCTCTCTTTTTTAGATTTCGTGTGAAGTTGTTATATGGTAATAGGTGGCTATACTTTTTAGATTTAAGGGATAAAGGTAAGGTGAAAGTTTGAGATTTTGGTTTGTGATAAGAATTTATTTGAGATAAAATAGGTAAGGTGTTGCGGATAGTGGAAGTGTTTGGGTAGGAGAATGTGTATTTATTTTCGTCTTTTTCTTGTAAAACCCCTAAAACTACTTATGTTGTTGTTTACGATTTATTATCACTTGTCGTCAGTCACCGTTTTTAACAAAATTAATATCAAAATATTCATATTTCTCTTTTCTTCTTCTTCTTCTCAATTTGAGTTTTCATGAAATGCACTCAAAGTCAACGAAAATTCATCCAAAGCTTCAACCTTCTAATGATTTGATCTCCTCTGACTATATAACGATGAGGCTAATTTCAATATATGCTACTCATCTTCTCAGAAGAATGCTTCTCATCTTTATTTTTTGAAGCAGACACTCAAACCCTTCAAACATGACAAAGTCCTTAAACTCACAAAAAAAAACCAAAAATGAACTTTTTTGTGAGTTTTAAAGATTTTTTTATATAAAATCTAAACCAGTAGAGTTGTAGAAAACAATAAGACGTGTTTTACGTGACTACAAACGACGTCAAAGAATGTTAATTTCTGGCAACAACTAGGAATAGAAAAAAAAACTCTAAAGTTTATAAAGAATGTGGTAAGGAGGAAAAAAAGATAAAAGAAAATGTTACATCAAAAAATGAATAAGAAGACATTTTTGGCTTCCAAGTAAGCATAAAAATATGTCATCCGACTACTTATGATTTAACGATCCAATGACAAAATAACAAATCTAATTCAAAAAGTTTAATAATAAAATTAAAAGTTTTTATAGTTTAGTGACCAAAACGAGACATGCCTTAAAACCCAGTAGCTAATAATGTACTTTACCCTTAAAAAATCCTCAAACTTCATTGTTTTGCTTTGATAAGTTCTTAATACATTTCTTTATGCTTAAATAACTCCATAATCCATATCTCTGTCAACAAGGTATCTGTTAAAAGGTCGTTATCTCCAAATTTTATTATAGTTTAAACTCTAATTATGTATGGATTTTTAGGGGATAAATTATGGATTCAGTCCTTTTAATCTGATTGCACCTTATAAAATCCGGATAAATGTCAAATTTTAATTCAATTACATGTTCTAGAATTAAAGCAAAGTTGTGAACTATTGTCCAAATTGATAATATTCTATTTAACTCATTACATGTATATTAATAACATGAGCAAAGGACAAACAATTTTTAAAAGCATTTAAAAGTCAAATGCTCAATTTGCAAAAGCTGGCATCAATTATTTTCTATCACACAACTCTTCCGGCCGTTGTACATGGCATTGGCACCCATCGTTGAAGATTAAGTGCATTTAATCTTGATTCTTCAATCATTTGAGAGAGAGAGAAAAACCAGTGATTACTTGTTATATAAGGCATAATGCTAAAATTCATTATTAAAATTTGATAAAATAATCACTTTCATAATTTTTTTAAACACTTTGACTCTTAACATTTTATTTTGAGGCTAAATACTCTTACAACAACAACAACAACAAAACCCTATTCTCATATGCAATGGGATAAGGGGGAGGCAGGTTAGTAGGCTGCCCCCAACGCCAGGTTTGAAGCAGCTTCCGTGTAAGACCTCCGGCAGTCAGAAAATTAAAAATAAAGATAAACTGCAATGCATGTATAAATAAATAAATAAATACATAGTTGAACAATCTTCATATGCAATCTTTATATGCGCGTTTGTAATGGGAAGTAATCCCTGCAAATAAATCCCTGCGTAAAAATCTCTGCATATAGACAAAAACGTAAGACCCTGCTAAATTTAACAATAGAACACATGAAAAGAAGGATACATAGAAGTTAATGATAGCAAGCTAAGAGAAGGAATAGAGTCAAATGGGTTAAAATTGAAAACTAATGCAACACTACTCCGCTACCCTAGTTCTAAGCTTTCGTATATTCTAATGACATAAACGTATAAGAGAAGTCATGGAAATTACTACAAAGGCATTAAAAGAAGACAGAGATGATACACCCTATGGATGTGACCTGCACTACTCGGCTACTCTGGTCTTAAGTCTCCATACTTTTGTATCAGATGTCATGTCCTCGGTAAGGGCTAAATCCTTCAAATCAGGTCTCAAGCAGTCTTCCCACTTCCGCCTTGGTTGTCATCTCCTTCTGGCACCGTCGACTGTAATCGACTCAACCCTCCTGACCGCATCCGAAGGTTGTCGCCTACGGACATGCCCAAACCACCGTAGTCTTCCCTCTCTCATTTTTTCGGATACAGGCACCACCCCCAAGGACATCCTAATAGCAGAGTTTGGTGTCATGTCCCATAGAGTCCTACCACATGCCCATCGAAGCATTCTCATTTCTACGACCTCCATCCTCCTTACGTGATCCTTCTTGATTGCCCAACATTCTGATCCATACAGCAGCGCTGGTCTTATTCACATTCTATAGAATTTTCCCTTAAGTTTTAAAGGCACATTCTTGTCACACAAAACTCCAGTAGCAGCACTCCACTATAGCAATCCCGCCTTTATACGGTGTGTAACGTCATCATCTACACCACCATCTTTATGTATCATAGACCCTAGGTACTTGAAACAATCATTTGAGGGGAGAACGTGTCCTTCTATGCATACTTCTACATCTTCATCGTTTTGGTTCTCACTGAAGTTTGAACATAGATACTCTGTCTTTTCAATATTGATCCTTAGACCTTTTTCTTCCAAAGCAGTCTTCCAGGTAGCCAGTCTACTATTCAACTCAGTTTTTGTTTCAGCAACTAGGATAATGTCGTCAGCGAAAAGCATACACCAGGGAACACCGTATGGTGTCGCACAATAGATGTCGTCCATAATCAAGGCGAAATACTCTTAATTGGATATAAATCATTAGTTGATATCAATGTGTGTCACTAATATGAGACTGTTACGTGTTCTAAGTGATTATGTGTTACATGTCATGTGCCAAAAGTGACAATATGATACACGTCACGTGTTGAAAGTAATGATATGATATATGTCAAAAGTGATAACATAAGATATGTCACATGTTGAAAGAGGTGACATGATAATTTCACGTTAGTTACGATCGATGATTGTTAATGAGTTAAAGATTTTCATCTAATTATGAATTATTTTGTCTTAAAATGAAACATTGAGATCAGAGTACTTCAAAACATAAAAAATAAAAGTCAAAATAATTATTTAATCAAAGGTTAAGGAATATCATTTAAATGACGTTGATACAAACAATTTTGTATGTAGATATGCCTAGCAGCGAGTATGTGAATGAATGTTTTGAAAGGAGAGGAGTTATTAACCGACAAGCACAAACAGACGAGCATGCAAGCAAGAGTCCACAGTCTCATTGTATTGGGGCAGCCGCTCCCCTCCTCAGTCACCCGGACACACCATTTGCTAAGAGCCACCCCTTTTCTCTTTAGATCTGTTCAAATATTCTCTTTTACACTGAACGGTAAAAGAGAATTGTTTTTAGATATTTTTAATTTGAACAGTTATATTTGTAGGATATGTGTATGTTGTTAATAAATTAACAAAATTTTAAACAAATACTACAATGTAATCACCCTGAACTATTTAAAACTATACATATTCCCTTCAACTCTGACTGCCTACCCCGCACTGCCTTTGCCTGCCTGGGTAGTACCCCTAATGCTTTACACTATTTTTCTTCTTAAAATTTCAAGGTACTTCCTTTATTATACAGCTGTTATTTTGATTTAAAAAGAGAATAAAAGCTAGTAGTATATATATATATATATATATATATATATATATATATATTTGAAGGATAAAGAATGTGGCTTTGTGGATGTCTGATTTTGCGAGCTTCCCAATTCATTCCTGTGCACGTTGAGAGATGTTGAATTGGTGGGTTTTGTTTAATTTAATCGTTTTTTGGAAGCATGAAGGAAACATGGCATAGTGGTCTCGGCGTGTGGTCCTTTGCCGATGCCTCTGCCTACGCATTCTCTCGTCCATATTCTATTCTATGATTACTTGAACTAATTAAAATATCTTATTTCATTTTATTATTCATCGGACGGAATGTTATGTAATGCTTCCTTTGCAATTTAGTAATTTTCCTTTTCTTAGAAATCTTGACGTTCAGTAATCATGTGAGAGTATCATTACCATCAAGTCCTCTAAGCCCCCAGCTATGCAGCTATGCACATCAGAAGTAAGATTAGGTTTTGTTGATGGTAACAAGATGATTATATGGATCATGGACGGTTTATCTTTTTTTTTAAATTTTGACGGAGAGTCTCAACTAGTGATTTAACGACTGTTGGTCGATGATAAAGAAACGAAGAAGAGTCGAGAGAGAAAGAGTCCAAAAGGAAGTGCTAGAAGAATCTTCCTTTTTTCTATCATATATGTTTATATATCAACTCCTCATTTATGTTAGTGTCAGATGTAGGATCAACATTACCTAGATTTAAGCCAATAAAATATATAAATATAACTGTCAAACAGTAGATTTAACCCTGATAGATATCTTGGATTTATTAAAGGTACTGTCCATAATATTTTGTCGGTCGAAGAACTTCTTTTATGAAAAAATCCTTTCGAAAATAATTTTAATAAACAAATAAGAGACAAGAGTTGTATCTCTAAATAAGTTGTATATCCAGAAACGTAATAAGGTTTGAGCTAGAGGTGGTACTAAAGCACATTAGAACATTCACATCTTACAACAATTGAAACGTTTTAGAAGAATGCCTAGCAATGTAAGAATACCATTAGCATTCATTTGAATTGACATCCCCTTCTTGAAACCCAACACACATTAGCTTCTTTTTTTTTTTTGAGAAGGAGGTGATCTAATCGCATCTTCCGGTATGCGTACCTTATTACGAATTTACTCCAACCATTGATTATATCTTTAGTATCTTCTTTTTTTGGAAAGTAACGATTTCAAGCATAACCAGCTCTCATAATGTGATAGGCGATGTGTGTAAGGCCCGAAAATGAATACACAATCGTATGATTGACTACAAACCATTCAAACTTTCCTTGTATGGCTATAGGAAACAGAGATGTAATGGCTTTGATGGCTACACTGTACTTCAAGGCCGTGGGATTCAGCACTCAATTGGGAACTCGTTGATGCCTCCCCCAACTTAACTCTTTATGAAAAGAGCCCGGTCCAAATATGGAAGAAAAATTACAATTTTGTTTAAGATATTTACATTTAGAAGTATTATATTAACTATAAGACTGACATCCGTTTTACGATAGTTAATAAAACATATTGATTATTTTATGCGAAAACTATTTACAACAATAGTATTCTGAAATCGAATTAATTTAAGTGGAGCAAAATCTAAATCGAATCAAGTTAATTTTGTTTTAATGAGATGGCTATTTAAATAAGAATAGATGAATTCTATTTATTCAAAAATTTTAGAGATATATATTTGCATATATATAATTAAATATCATATATTAATTATATATATATTTTTAAATAGCTTAGAGTGATTACAAGATAGAATTTTTTAGCTTATTGACAATGTACATGTACCCTGCAGACGCAGTTATTCGAATACAGAATCTTTAAAGAAAATAATATTATTTTTTATCACTGAAACCACTTGATTAGTTAAATTATAGATATAATTTTAAGTGTGAAATAAAATTTATACGTGATAAATGATTGTGAGTAGAGGTAGATCCCAAAATTTAGTCTTTAAAAGTGAGAATGCACCCTGCAAAGCGATGGGATAAGGCTCGCAGATTTTGGGCTTAATACAGGTTGTGCCTATTAGCTAGGGAGGGTTTGCAGGGCTTTTAGGCCCAGTCGGAAAATAGGGTAAAATTCGTGAGAGATAACTGAAGGAGCAACGGTGGCGAGAGAGAGAGAGAGATGGCGGGAGGAATAGGAGCATTTTGGGCAACAAGAGTGCTGGAGATAGTGAAGAAGCACGACTCAGGCGGCCTCGTTTGGAAGAGAATTAAACTCACTTCTACCCGCAAAGCCAACGCCAAGAAGCGTCTCCGTCGCGTTTGGCAGGTCTTCTCTCCTCTCTTTTCAGGATGTTTATCTCTTTTGGCTTATTTACATATTTTTCTTATCATTTCAGTTCTCGAAGCTTATTTTTTATGCCAAAACCCTTTCTTCTTCCTGTGTTTTTGCCTCACTAGTTGATTTTATTCTCTGAATTGATTCGGTTAGTTGTTGGGAAGCAGTAGAATTCAAGGGTAAATATCAACTGTAAGAGAAGGTTGCGCTCTATAGATATATCCTCAGGATAGCATAGAGCTTAAGTCAATTTGGTGTGAAGTCTTGTTAATCTATATTTCATCGTAAGGGTATTCAGTATTCATGAGTGATGTTTTATTTCATTTTATGGTCCATTGGTATATATGTCCAAATATTACTCGGATTCTTAAGGAAAACTAAGAGTTCGGTTAACACAGCTGCATGGTAATAAATTGCAGATGCAGTCGCGGTGTCGAGGTGACCTTGAAAGTGTTACGAAGAGGTCGTTTCACTGCATTGCTACCTTAATTTAGTATTATGCACAGCTGAGCACATAGAAAGGGTTAGTTAATCTTCAGTCTTGAAGAAGGGATAATATAGGGTTTAGGCATAATGGGGCAGTTTTACCTTGTATCTGATAACTTGGTTGGTCAGTTAAATGTTATCATTCTACTTGGACAAAATGTAGTTTAAATTTCTAACATTAGGTTGTATGCATACCATGAATTTTGAATCTTGGGGTACTCGGATAAGAGAATAATCATATATTGTCTTTGGGCCTATCATTTGATTGGATTTGAACTCCTTGTGTTTTTATCATATTATAAAAATAAGTCATCTAATTACAACCATGTGATATTCCGAGAAAAATTATCATTTTTGTAAATGTAAGTACTTGACCTTTTGTGGTGGCATTTGGATGGTGGATTCAAATCCTTTGCCAATAGTGGAACTTAGTCTCTCTATATACCAACTTTGATTCTCTTAAGGCCCAGTTGTGTCAAGGGTGCAAGACACTCTCTAGGCTTTAGATCTCTTAAGCCTTGCCTAGAATTTCTGTGTTTACGTGTGTATGTGTATAAAATCTTAAATATATAGTTATGATAATAAGTTCTGAATAGTGGTCAAGTTTATCTACTAAACAAGAAACATTTAGGTGGCCAATATGCACGATTTCTTTATGGTCCCATGTTGTTTAGTGCTCAAATATTTGAGAACTAGAGAGTTTAGAGTGGTCAGTCTTATCAGTAAAACATGGAAATTTTTTGTTAGCCAATATGCATGTTTTCTTTTTGTCCCATATTGTTGAATACTCAAATATTGAGAGGAAGAAAGAGTTTGATATTTCTCTTTTACTAGTTAATTTACGTTTAATAAAGACGTTGAAAATAAAACAAATTAAAGAGAATTTCAATCAGGCAGGATTTTCTTACACTTATTTTTCTTACTAGAAAGAGCACCTAGGCACACCAGGCATGCACTTGATCGAATACGCCTTGCTAGAAAGGTTGGATGGCTTTCTCGTTGTCTGAGGCACATTCCTTGACAACATCTCCAACTGAAAGCCTCAAGTTTATAACCCGTTTAAGAAACCAGGTTGAGGTGTTCTGTTTTTCTGTTTGCCCTACATACAATACCTAATGACTGCTTTTCCAAGGGGCTTATATGAATCGGGATACCTTTGACTTACACCCATCTGCATGCTGAAAAATTCGAAATGTTTAGCAAACTGTAATTTCCCTCATTTTTATCCATTCTCAGACTGTTGATCCTGTTACTTGGGTGTCTTGGATGATTCCTTTTTGGCCTGATTCATTTTAGATATAATCATTCAAACCTTGTATATATTTTTTTAAAATATTGGAAATGTTTATATTCTTTCAGAATGAAGCTGTTTTGAGGGCATGTTCAGAACCACCTCCTTCAAAAGCAAACGACGAAGAGAAAGACATAGAACGACCAACATAATGGAAAATGAAAGAAGACACTACATGAGCCTCAGAGGAAGTTAGTGACCCTTGGGGTAATGTAGCAACTTTTTTTTTTTTAAATCTGAGATTTGAATTTAGTTGGATGGGATCATTGACCCCTTTCTTTGCTATTGTTGCTAAAAACCATTGATGTGAGCTAGTTGCTTTATGGACATAGGCAATCATAATCACAAGCCTCTTCATAACTAGCCGTCCATAAAAAAGATATACGCAATAGCCGTTTACTTATGATGTTCTTTTTTGCTTGTTTTAAGGGTTCACATGTTAAAGCTCAAAATTTAGCGGCTGCAGGTTTGCTTCTTGTTTCGGCAGGTGACATAAATGATAGAACCAAATAAACAACTAGAAACCGGTTTTAGAGGATTGGTGGAAAAGTAATGACATTTCCCCATAGGAATAGTGGTGAGAAAGATGAAGTGGTCCATTGTGGTATGTATTGAGGGAGTTGGATAGAATGGTGGACCCATAACCACTAAATGAAAAGGTTTAAGAACCCCACCCGCTAGTTTGATTTTGACATTGGAAGGGACAATTAGACTTGGGAACCCTTCTTTCCATACGTCTCTTTTTATCCACTTGAAGAGATCCTTAAGAGTTAGCATCTTATTTTCACACGCAACAAATCACATGATGTTCTTAATCTTATCACATGTTTTTGTTTACCAATACTTTTCTCTTGATAATGTCTTCTACCATAAACTTTGTGTTGGTTAACATAGAATATTGGAGATACCAACCAACCCTTTGAAACTTGAGTAAAACTTTTAGTTTTATATCATTTTTCTTCTGTACATTACAAATTAGAAGAGAAATTACATCAGTAGGGTTTGGATCTTTGATGCCTATGAGAACTTCAGTGGAAATTTAATCACTACTCTCTTGTTTTGTTTGTAGTTTTACAGTGTTTGATGGGTCATTAGATTTTAGGTTTTAAAATGTCAATTTGTACATTTTTGAGATTTTCAGAAAAAGAAAAAAGTAAGATAAAAGACCTAGATAACGTTTGGTCTTTTGTAGCGGGATAAGTTGGGTTTCTTTGAAGGGATTGACCTAATTCATGTGTGAAGGGGTACAAACTTTTTGCCTCTTCTCATTGTGTAGGTGAGGTGTGGTCCTCCACGTAAGGATGTACTTATATCGTGTAAAATTTATTAATATTACACACACAAAAAATAATCAATAGGTGGATCTAAATGAATGTCTGAGATTAAAATTATTGTTAGCATGATCCCCATGAAAACAGGAAAATAAAAAGGATAATTTTAATAATAAAGTTTTAATTTCAATCGTCCATTTGGTTCCATTTGATGACAAAAAGTAAATTTATAACTAATATTATTAGCATAACAAAAAAATTATAATTTGATATATTATAAGCAAAATAATATGGATTTTAATATGGATTTGATTATGATATAGATTTATATTTTTGGTGAATTTATTTTTAAATGATATAGATTTATATTTTTGGTGAATTTATTTTTAAATGAATATTAATGATAATTTTATTGTTGTGATTTAATTTTAAAGGAAGCTGATGGATTTGAAGTTAAATTTGTTGAGTTCAGTGTATCTTTTGTAAAATGAACATCAGAATCGCGTTCAGAAGATCAAAATGAGTAAATTAAAAATTTTGAAATCTAAAGGTTATTATCAAAGGTGATTGTCGATTGTTGGTAGGGATGGTGGTGAGTGGTGACCGAAGAGTCAAATTGATATTTCATCTAAAATTTAGGGTCTCATTGGTATTTCATCTAAAATTTAAGGTTAAATTGATATTTCATCTAAAGTTTAGAAATTAAATTTTAAAAAAATTCTTTTATCAATGTGTCATATTATCAAATTAACATGAGTTAACAGTTTAATGATTAAGATGAGATAATCAGTAACATAAGTAATTAAAATGTAATAAATTAATAACACAATTGATATAAATGTAAATAACACTAAAACAAAAGTAATCATTTTGATAATTTACTCATTTTAGCTTCAAGGACTGAGGCCATTTAGATTTGGATATTGATTTTAAAGTTAATTTTATTGTTTAAATTTTTTATACAACATCTTTTAAAAATCATCACTCAAAAATAAATAAAGTATTTATTTAAATGATAAAATTAGGACTTTATAATTTTTAAATAAACATATTCAAGTCTTATTCTTATATAAAAAATCTCATTTTTCAACTATTGTGGATTGAAATAACTATTGTTTAACTTACATCCACTAAGTATTCCATTATCTAATATTTATTATTTAATATATTTTGTTCAAAATATTTTTCTTTAAAAAAGTATATAGAAGTGTTGCGTAAAGAACTGCAATATCGTGAGCTGATCTAAAACCCATTTTCAGTATATATATATTGCTTGTGTGTATCGGTGTGTGTATGCTGGTTATTTTATGGAAAGGACGATTCATGTGGTGTTATTTTTTAAAATAATTATATTATATTATTATATAAATGATAAAAAAAATAATATTATTTGTATAAAAATTATTAACATAATCTGATTAATTATTTGATATACTTAACCTAATGTATCAATTTAAGATAAACTTTGAAGTTTCCTTGTGTACTCTTACAACCCATCTTATGCAAGTATTATTTTCTTAATCCTTTTTTATTTATAATATTTGGTGGATGATTACCATATTTGATAACTTGTAATTTCAGCTTAAGTTATTTATGGTTAAGGGTGAATAGATTTGGAATCGATATAATTCGACTCGTAATCTTGTAAATTTCATTCGAGTGAAAGAAATTAAATAAAATTTGACTTATAAAATAAGATTCGAATAACTCGTAACTTTTAGGTTCGAGTTAAGTCTCTCAACTATGCATCATATATATATATATTGTATATGGTTATATAAAGTCGTTTAATTATAATCAATTAATATCATAATATTATAAATATTTATAATTAAATTTAAATAAAAATTTGAATAATTCTATTTAACTCAAAGAAATTTAAATAATTTTTGAATAATAAATTAAGAATGAACAATTAAATTAAATTAATTTTTTTTAACTCGAATCAATTTGTTCGTCAAGTACGTGAAGGATGTCAACAAGAAAAAGGGTACATGGTCCTTTGCATGTAGGACACTTGTACCATAGAACATGAAGTTGTGGGTCTCAGTCTATATATAAACAGTGGCATGGTAGGCGCAGAATAGTGGGAGAATCTTACTGTTAAAAGACCATTGGCTATCCGTGAGAATATTTTTCTATTGCGTACAAGTTATTTGAAATAGGGTTCTACTTTTCTTTATATACAAGGAATATTTAATATATTCCTTTTCTCAGTTCCTATTAAAACTAAGAATAAGAAAATGTTAATAAATGATTGTTATTCAAATTTGTATATCAAAGGGTAGTTTTCATATGCTTCACAATTAAAATCATAAATGGTAAAACTTTTCTGTTAGCATTTTAAAGTTCACGTCATTAAAATCACAAGTATACTTTTCTCATTTGTTCACGTCAAAAATATTTTTCAACCCCATTAAAAATATATTTTTAAAGTTCAATTTTTTATGTTCTTACGTAAACATGTGACTTCGATGTTAAAAGAATTGTTGTTATCCCTTGAGGTTTCAGGTTCGAGCACCAGAAATACCAGGTTACGAGCGTTAATTTTCAAAATATTGAGAGTTATCTTTGCACAAATATTACTTTGTATTTACCCCGGATTAATAAAAAAACAATCATGTTCTTTAGAAAATAATATTAAGTAAAATTATTTATTTGTATGTGTCATAATTTTTTCATATCTTTAAAAATGATTTTTTAAACACTTCAATTTTTTTAAATATATAAATACTATAATACTGCACTTTAGGGGGGAAAACAATGAATAACAAGTTCTAACTTCCAAGTGTTGCCTTTCATAAATGTTATTAAGTTATTTAAATTTTGTTATTAAATAAATATATCTATTTCGGTATTTAAATTTTCTTATTAAGGTTTACTTTAGTTCATAAATGTTTGTCTAATTAAATATTTAATCGTACTTTTAGTTGAGAATGATACATAAATTTAGTTTTATGGTCTATAAATTGAGTCAATGTCAAGGCGTCTTTACTCAAACTAAGATATAACAATAGTTATGATTGTTAAGCCTCTTAACCATGTATGAACCATACAGTTTTTCCCGTTTCAACTCGTCTTTGAAACGCCTCTACTCTTGTTATCTCCCAAGCGTCGAGTTCTTCCTCTATTAAGTTGATATTGAAAGGTTTCTACTCAAATTTTCTTCATATAATATTTTTTAAAAGTGTTGAGATATCTCTGCTCTTAAGCTAATGTTGAAAAACATTCACTCAATTGTTCTCCATATAGGATTACTCCAAAGTGTTGAGTTGCATCATGTGTTAAGTCCACGTTGAGAAGTCTTCGCTTAAATATTTTACAAAATTGTTCTCTTTTACCCGTTAAGATTCTCCATCAATACGATATCAAGATGCCTCCGCTACACAACAGCTAAATTCTTCACTAATACGATGTTGAGATACCTCCGCAAAATTATCAAAATATATAGTTCTTTATTAAACTATTTATTGTCTCTCCACATCCACCACCAAGTCTTGCAAATTCAAGTACTAGTTAACCATGTTTGCCTGCCTACAACCTTAGACCTACCCTTTTCTGTTTCAGGGTACAGAAGCAGCTCATTTTCCAATGTATTATACTAGGAATGGAGCGTACATGAAGGAAGCTGAGAACTAGGTGCCGCCGGTTTCAGAATTTCCTGGAGATTCCCATCCATTTTCAAACAGTGAATAAGATATATGTCAATGGGAATTGGGTTCTTTTCCTTTTCCTTTTCAAATGCTGATTTGCAAAGATCTTAATTCTTATGCCTTATTCTTGTGCTTCCAAAACAGCTTCCAGCTTTTGCTAAAGCTCTCATATATTGCACCTTTTCTGCTCCCTATAAGCATTACTTTCTCTTAAAAATCATAACCCTTTTTTTCTTACTTAGCTCTGCAATGTTCATGTGCAAAAGTGCAAAGCAATGTGAAGTTGACCATATCAAAAACAATAATAAAATACCAAAGGAAAGTAATATCACTAACATTGATAACATTTTGAGAGATCAGATTACAAAGGGGTGCCCATGTTTTCTTTTTCCAACATTGTTTTTGCTCTTCTTGTAGTACTTAATGCCGACCAAAGACATAAATTACCATATCCTAGACTGATTTAAGGTTTTGTTCTGAAATATGGCAAACTATTGCAACAACTGGTTTCTTCATGATCATCTGTGTCATTACTTGATACTTGGGTGATCCCACTGGAGACAGAGGAGGAAGAAGAAGGGACAAGATTCAAGTCTTTTGTGAGGAAATCATAGAAAACAGGCCTGCTCGTTGTCCTTGGTTTACCGACTTCATCGTTTTTAGCACCTCTTTTCTTCAAGAATATCCGGCACAACACCCAATTTTCCATAGGCACTGCATTGGTCTGCACATGGTTTTTTGAAACAGAAATCATTGGCTTTGTTTGAACAATGTAGCATACCATGTTTTGTTTAACAGAAATGGAGGAAAGAACCCGAGAAGTCACCTGAATTTGGTTCTTCTTGAGCGGTGGGACATTGCAGGCAGTTGTCACAAGTCGATACTCGTGCATGATCCAATCTGTTCTACTTCCATTCGGGGCTTTTCCTCTGTAAAAAACCAAAGTTTTCTTCATCCCCACAGCTTGGTTGCTCCTGGATGCTACGATTTGTTTGTCGAGTCCGGTTGCTTTCCAGTAGCCTGAAACAGTGGTTCTGTTGGATCTATTGGTATTGGGATACTTGGCTTCCCTGGTGCTGAAAAAGTACCTCTCCTGCTCCAAATCACCTGCTTTTACACACAACAAAACACCCAAATTCATTATTAAAAAAAACATCTAATTTGGTTGTAAATGTTGATTAAATCATGAGTGAGATTCTTCAACCAACCTGGTAAATCCCAAGGGTCAGCTTTGCAAACATCGACCTCGGGGATGATAGTGGCAGGCAAGGGCCAAGCTAGCACCTTTCGTCTCAAGTATTGAACCACTAACTCTTCATCTGTGGGATGGAAACGGAACCCTGGAGGCAATCTCAGCACACCATTCTTCACAAAATTGAGCTTCTCCATCTTCAAAATGCAAGCAGCTTAACAACAACAACAACAAAAACCCCAGAAAGGATGAGCCTTGAAACCACCCGATTGAGCCTAGAATTGAAGCAAACCACAAAGTGATGCAAAGGGAAAAGCTCGTGGACCGTTGAGATATGGGGAAAGTGAGAGAGATGAGTATAAGACAAGGGGGAAAAGTGTGGGGTTCTTTATAGATGGTAATGGTTGGGGGAGGAGGGCGAATGGAATAAGGACGATACAAATGGCGTAAACAAGATTCAAATCTTTATTTTAACAAAAGGATTAATAGTATTAAATTGAATTTGTGGTGGCTTGGGAAATGGTTTAAGTTTGGTTTTGTTTTGGATGAAAGAACCCAATGCGTCTAAGGAGGGGGAAGCCTAGTTGTGTTCGACTTCTTTGTCCCCATGCGTATGGGAATAACTGTAGCTGCTTCACTTCATTTTCAAAGCTTTTCCTTCCTTCCATAATATCTTATCTTTTTTTAATTAGTATTGCTCTACCTATTTTCAAGTGTTCTATAAATCTTTTCACATAATTATTTATAAATTTATGTAATTTGTTTTTTTAAATAAACAACGGATTTTATTGAAATTAAATGAAACACATTTTCCTAGACTGTGCCAGCTGTGCATCAATTTCTATGGGTAAATTAATTGTATTAAACAAACAAAATCATAACTTTACTAAACTAAAAAATCATTCCCGGCCATTCTCCTTGATTTCTTCTCTTTCTTTCTTTGAACGCACAAATGCTTGGAGTTAAGTCTTGATTTATCGATCCTTCTACTCTGCTCTTCCTTCAATCGGATCTATGGTGGGTCGGTCCACCTTTTGTCCTCCGATGTCTGCCTCGTCGTCTTTTCCGGTTCCTCCTCTACCCAGAATGTGTCGCTATCTCTAACAGATTCGCTATGACCAACAAATGAGCCGTCTTATTTCCTTCTCTTTGCACGAATTTGTACTCACACAAGTTGAAACCCTTTTGCTAGCTTTTATGCTTCCCAAATGAGCACACATATTTCAGAATAATCGGGTTTGGATGTGGCTAGCTTCTTCATTACCGATCTTGAATCCCCTTCCAGAATCACTGGTCTGAAGCCTAAATCGAGTGCTAGTTGGAGCGCATGTCCTGCTGTGGTGGCCTCTGCTGCAAATGCTGATGGTACTCTCAAGGTATGTTTCTTGCATGCCCCTAATTCGAACCCATTCTTACTTCATATAATCACGTCTGACCATGCTTCTTGTTTTGCTTGAATGAAACTTAAGTCGAAATTGATCTTTGCTATACCTTCTGGTGGCAGGCTCTTTCTCACAACACTTGCTCGCACAGGTTCATGGATCCTATTGTTAGCTATGATAAATTACTGGCAATAACTTTGAATGCATATGATGGTTTATTCATGTAACATCTTCAATATCAGATTAGTGATTAAATTGTAAAATTTTAGAATTTAAGGATAAAAATAGAATAGTTTAATAGTTTAATAATTTATGTGAAGATATTTTTTTAAAATTGTTAGTAATTATTAAAGGAATTAAAGGACAAAATAATCATTTGACTTAAAAATAAATAAAATAATGATATATGTGGAGATAAAGTTGATAGATTTCTCCAGAAATCTCTTCACTCTTCATTTTTTATTCTTCTTCTTCTTCAACATGAGACACTCAAAGTAAATGTGAGTTTTTTGATTTCTGGGTTGGTTGTTGTTGATTTTAAGCATGGTTTTTTATCATTAGATGATAAATAAGTTTAAGAAAAGCTTAAGTTATCTTAAAATCAAAAGATAAAGGAGTTATGATAGATTAAAGAAAATGAGTTTTTAAGTAAAATTTTGAATAAGAAGGTTTAAATAAATTTAGAGGATGAATTTGACTTGTCATCTATAAGAATAAGAATTCAAAAGTGTTAGAATTAAGTTTGGATAACATGAAAAATTTGGTATGATTCTTAACCTTAAGAATTTGGATGAAATATGGAAGATTATAAGGTGTTGGGGTGATAGGAATTTATTAAAGTTATTATAGATGAATTTAGTAGCATAATAAGGATTTTATATATGAAAATTTGGATGAAGTGTTGAGGATTTTTGGATGAAATGGCTTATTCTGGGCAGGTGTATCGATGCACTAAGAAAATTTTTGAAGGTGCATCGATGCATGAATATTTCGAAGCTATTTTGTGTATCGGTGCACCCATAGTGCATCGATACATCCCTAAAAGAAAAATGGAATTTTTGTTTATTAAATTAGCCTAAGTTATTAATACCAAGTTATAAGGTTTAGGCTTTTGATAATTGTATCGGAAATTATGTTTATGTAGGTATTGAGCCTAAACAAGTTCCGGAGCAATCAAAGAATTAGGATCGAATCAAAGCAAGGCTAAGGTGAGTACAATTTAATTTGTGCTTATAGAACAAACATTGGCTTGCGATGAGCCAGTGATGGAGTTACTATGATAAGAAGTGACTCCTAAAATGTTATTTGATTTGTGATTCTTATATGTGCATGAATACATGAAATGAGTATAAGTTATTATATATGTTACATGATCTGCATGCTTACATGAATTTGCAATATGTATTATATGTTAAATGAAATGACATAGATGTTTACACATACATGTGGTATGTGACAGAATAAAATGTATATGTGATCACAAGAGAAATGACATGAGTATATGAACATATGAAACACAAGAATAATGCCCATGGTATATATGATACGAAAGCTATAGGTATAGTTGGCATGTCAAGAGTCGAGGGTTTTACGTGGTCCTTCGGGACATATATGTATCATTTGAAACATTTACAAGGTCTTTTGAGATAGATTTGATCCACTGGAATATGTATATGGTTCTTAAGGAGTGGTCATTCGGGACAAATACAGTAAATAGGTCATTCGGGACAAATACAGTACATAAGTCCTTCGGGACAAATACAGTACATAGGTCTTTTGGGACAAAATTTTATAGCCCCTAGTGGGACCCCATATGAGCTGTGGTGACAACAATAATGCATAACCTCAATGTACTCGAATACCTTGAGTTCTCAAAAATGTACATGGGCCTAAAAAAAGGTTATCAAAGGTAAGTGCATTATTATAGTTATAGGTTACCATATTATTATTGTTTATATTGAATTGCATATGACATGATTGAATTGATAGATTGCATGTTCATATTCATACGGAATGCATTATTATCATATTTATATGTCTCACTAAGTCTATGACTTAGCGTGTAAGCGATTTACACGTAGGTACTGAGAAGCAGGAAAATCAAAGCTAAGCTTAGCAGAACAACATAACTCCACTTGAAGGTCAGATCAAAAGTAGATTAAATAGTATGTTTTATTATGTGAAAATAGATTGACATGTAAACAAAGTTGATAAATTAAGTATTTATGTTCTGATCAAGTTTTGTAATGTTTTAAACGTATTTAAGTAAATGTAAATGTATAGTAATGAACAGTTAATTTTTTACAAGTTTTATGAACGTTTTACGAAAGTCACTGTAGCAGTGCATCAATGCACAAATTTGCTTTGAAATTTTAGTGTATCGGTGCACTGTAGCAATGCACCGATGCACTATAGTATTGTTCATGGTATTGTTCATTAATGTTCACGGTACTGTTCATACTGTATAGTATTATTCATAAATACGTTTTTCCTTTAAATTTTTATAATGAAGTATAATTCAATAATATATCATCGTATTTTCTTAAAATGAGTTCAAATATTTGGTTATTTTGGAAGAACATCGTTTTAAAAGGTCAATGTGACATCTCGGACTCGTATCCGGGTTGGGTACGGGTTGAGGTTTTACAATTCACTATTTTGTTTCGTGCATACCATAAGGCCCATATGGTTATTAATGCTTCACTATATTTGTAGGTGAGACATTGACAAACAACCAACTAAGCCATTCTTTAAAATTTCAGTTCAAACTCTGCGGTGGCCACTAGTAAGCTAACTTTTGCCAGACTACCAATGCTAGCGTGCAGTCCTTGATAATGTGTAGTCCTGTTTCAACTTGATTTAGGCACAAATTGTAATATGGTTCGTTTATAACATATTTGTGAAAGAGAAAATAACCTCAGTGATAGAAAATGCCTTATAATATACGATTTTAACCAACTTTTTTTGGATTTACGAAAATGACCAACAAATTCGCAACGCGAACTCCTATTTCGCAACTCAGTTTCCAAATTCGCAATGCAGAAGTTAATTTTGCAACACAGAAGTCAAATTCGCAACACTGAATTTCAAATTTGCAACTAAATTTCAAATTCGCAACTGAATTTTAAATTCGCAACTCGATTTTCGAATTCGCAACACGAATTTAATTTCGCAACAGGTTTTAGTTTCGCAACACAAATGTTTTGGGTATATAGCTACGCAGCAGTAGTAAATCATAACCTAAATCCCTAAATCGCAACTCATTCCATCTCCATCTATAACTCACTCCGGCGACATCCGTTTCTATATCCAACGACATCCTTCCCCATCTCTAATTTTTTTTAAATAATTTTATTTCTATACAATTTTTCAATAATTTCTCTCCCAAATTATCAACTATCAACTTAATAAATGTATGTTTTTCTCTAAGTTAGTGCTGATATCTAGTTTATAGCTCGTTTGTTTAGTAAATTAATTTACAATTTGTAGAATGAAATCATCTAATGTTGATCATGTTTGGATAGATTTGTGTTTTGGAGGGTCATGGGAGAATGTTCATGTTGTTTTACAATATATGCCTTTACCCATGAATCTTCAACTAAAACTGTCATTAAAAAAGTTAACTTATGAAACTCTAATGTTACATGTTGCAAAGAAATTGAATTTAGAGCCTCTAAGTGGATTTAGGCTATCTTATCAGAGAAAAGGTAAAGTTTATTTATTAACCGACAATGAAGATGTTGAACGATTCATTGCTTACATTAGTGTTTCGCAAGAAGATGATGTTACATTGTATGTTGTTGAACCTAGAAGTAGTGAAGTTGGGTCAGTAGCGGGTGGTAATCAACTAAGTTCTTCAACCCCAGTTTATGGTGCTCACAATGTATAACGTTCTTATCAACCTCAAAATTTAATAGTTCCTCAAAATTT